TCGGTCAGAGCATTTGGCACACTTTCTTGTTATGTCCGCTCATTCGTGCAGGATTTCCAGTTATCTAGGTAGTAGTTGAACTGAGATTCTGGATAGAAATAAACCTTGTATTTCTGAAGACCAATTTAGCTTTTTGATCTTTGGTCTAAGAGGAACAAAAACTACAGGTGTTTAGGGAGAACTCGCGTTGTATACATTGTATTTTGCGTAAAAGCCAGCGATTTCTCATCTGAAAGTATTTTGCATATTTGAACCAACAAAATTTAGTGTTAACCCTAACTTTGTAGTTAAGTTTCGTGGCATAATCGCAACAGGCAAAGATTGTATACACCTCTATTAATCACTCAGTGCTACTGAATTAACGTAACCCGTTTCCTTGATATTTCTTCTCCAATGATAACATGTATTGCAGATCCAAACAAGTAAACACCTAGATAATCGAAAATATTGTCAAATAATCATTGCCTTGCCCCGGTAAGTAATGAGTTGGCCATCTGCATGGGCTTAGGAGATTCACGGAATAATTCGTCCGTAATCCTCTAAAACTTTGCACGGCATTCCGAAGGTTTTTTATCCGTACACATTCAAAACCTCGAATGGGCTGTTGAGTTTTATTCAGCCTCCGAAATGCTGTGGTAAGCATTAAAGAAGACGATCCTGGGGAATATTATGACGCCGTAGAGAACACTGGTAAAGTCCTGAATGTGAAGTGATGGTCATGTAACAGCCACTGCACGAATAACCTCCTAAGGGACGAATTCGTAGTCTTCGACCAAAATCTAGTTCCAAGCTGAATGGTTCCAAACAGAATTGTACTTATGACAGAGTTTTGAAGAAGTGCAGGATCATTGTCCTATAGGACAAAATGTGTCAGATCAACATAGAAAAAATCTTCAGATATGAGACTTTTGCCATCCAAACAATAAGAACAAAGTGGCCAAACAGAAATTCGCCTGCAGTTAGCGAAAATGCGCATTCGAGATAGGAATGTAGGTAAATCCATTAGGGCGTAGACGTTATAATTACCACAAAATACAAAATGGTATGCAAAGTACGACTTTAGAGTTTGAATGTGTTGTATTAGATATACCAGGGGAGCCGTCTAGGACGGTTTGCGTATTGAGAGTTCCGGAATCATCACAAGAATCCCAGTCGGTGTGATTTTCCATAGACACTATGTGAAATGGTAAAGCCAACGGACTAATCGAGGAGACTAGGACGAAGACCTCAGCTTATGGCCCTGTTCTGTAGTAGCCTATGACTGTGAGAGTAACTTCTTTACCTGTTACTTATAAGGTTATTTAGTCTAATAGCAAGTCTGTATGCATTTCTTTCACTAAGTCCCAAGTCTCCTAAATTATCGCCTTGATTTGGCTTGCCTCAATTAACTTACTGACTTAGGACTGTTGCCATTAGAGGATGTAGTTCAATTGCTCTGTGTCAACTGTATTTGTGCTATTTTTCCGTTGGTGATATAACGCTGGTCACAAGTCCTGATAGTGGCAAGTAGTTACGAATGCTAGAATGATCCAAACGCCCTTTTATTTGGCTCCTCTGAAGTACTTAGGATAACTGAGGGTGGATTCGGAATAGTGAAATTCCAGCGCATTTTACAGATGTTCCGGGGAAGATAGCGCCCAGTTTGTTTTGGTGTTACTTCATCTACTGTTATGTCTCTCACCTTATGATTCGAGTGACGTAAGAACTATGGTGGGAATGTATCCTCTATAGCATCCTTTCAAAGAGACTCTGTATTCAGTGATATTAGGACATCTACATGGAAGCTTGAATAAAGCATACTGTCGCATGGAATAAGGGTGAATAATGGGCTCCTGTACTTCCTTGATACTGGTATTATATAACTGAGACCAAAATTTTATGTTCCTGGTTTGCTCTGTCAAGACAATGCTCCAATCGGGTGTGCTGTAATTCCGACCAAGTTCATCGAAGGCCAATATTAAGGTAAGTAAGCCATACATTATGGTGCTGAAGAAAACACAATTAAGAGCAAAGTAAAACGAATCTGAAGAAGCTGTCACGCAAGGCACACACATGTGAACAACGTGATAAGATTTTCATGAGAATTAACGACTTTTAGACGGTGGACACCGCATTAAAGTGATCACGCAGTAACTTGCAGATAGCACGTAAAGACTGAGAAGCCGAAAGTTGCTAGCAGTGTGTATTTTGTAAGCGCACTGATAAGCAGGTCAAGAAGGGAAGATTATACAAACACATAGAGTGGAGCACAACATTCAATACAGTGAAACACAGAAAAACACTTCAAAGTATATAAATCAGAAATAAACTCCAAAGAGGCTACTAGTTTTGTGCTTTGTGGAGGACCTAGTAACAGAAAGCGTATTCAGATGAAATACTGCAATAAAAGCGTAAGCAGGAAAAAACACTGGAACAATCAGTTATAATTATTATGAATAGTGAATTACGATGCAAAACAAAGCCAAACTGTCTGACATCTATTGGTATTAAAGCTAAGGTTTTTGAATATCCAGCAAGAATTATTTACTTTTATTTTGAAGTTATGTGGCATCGAAATATTAAGAGCACAATGGCTGGGCACAGAATGACCCAGCTAAAAATATTTTGTGGTTAAACAAAAATAAACAGCAGTGCAAGATGAGCCACAAATGGTCTTATTTATACAGAAATGTAATAGAGCAGATAAAGTATAATTTAGGTAACTGAGGGCACAATATTAATGGTAACAATTAAAGTAGACAGGTATTGTAAGTAAGTTCAGGTCCACCACCGGCAAATTTAACAATATATTGTAACCATACTTCCCCACTGTGTTTGCCAAATTGGTTGCTGGGTATTCTTAGTAAGAGGAGGTGAGTTTCCTGAAAGTTCCGAAAGATGCGACCAATAATTATTATGGCAAGCAGGCAGTAACAGAGAAAGAGACCTCGACGTGAGATCTATCAAGCGTATGGTATTTTTCCTATATAGAAGGTGCACACCCGATAAACGGATTAGCTAAACAAAGATTCGTTTGAAACACATACATGATGTTTCCACAGGAGGGAATGTATTCACCTAAGGGAAACTTTATAAGATCATCTTTCTGCACTCTACACCTCTTGCATTCCTTGTTTATTGAGTTACACTATTGATTATATTGCGTCCTGTGTGGTGTGAAGAAGTTATAACAAAACGATTCTCCACCCAATTCATTCTTCGCAGACGGATAGGCATACCCTATTCGCCAGAACTTCTTGAAGATCTGAGACCGTTCCACAAAATTAAGAAGCGATTTTCGAGATATTAGTAGTCAAAGTGAAATCATTAAAAATATATTGAAGATTTAGAAATTAACAGGTTTTTAGACGACATTGTGGGGCAATTACGTTATTAAAGTGTTTTAGACATGAACTAAGGACTGGAAAAACCACATACGTGAACCTGTTAGTGACTAACTTCCTCTCAAAAATGCAAAGTATTGGAAAAGGAATGTACTACTAGCAGTTTTCACTGTATCACCTAAATGCCAACACGGTTGTTCAGACACAGACTCTTTGTATTAGTTATTCACTACCGGGAAGTATTTATTATGCTTTCTGTCAGACTTGTCCAGTTTGTTTATCTCCTGTGCTTTGATTTACAAAATCTATACGAAATTGGCGGGTGGTGTGAACTTCCGAGGTGTGTGCACATTTGAAATTGTATCTTGACATTTGAGTGCTTTGGTCATTTGTTGTGTTTTTAATCTAGCTTTCCCATGTATGTTGCCGAAAAGTTATTTTTACAGGTTTCATGTTTTATGTTAACAGCTTAAATTTGTTTCGTACAATTATTACTCTGTGTTATAAAAATATATTTGAATTCCACCTGTCATCCAACCTCACTTTTAATTTTTTTTCTACATTTCGGTCTGACTATTCTTACAATTTTTTGGAACCATATTGAGTGTTCTCATCCTTGGACTTACTGATGAGTGGTAATAGTCTTTAATAACAAAAGCTACACACAACTGTGTCAATTTCTGCAATATGTTTTGCCGTAGAGATTGAATTCTTTGAAATCACTAATAGGTTGAGCAGATATCTGTTGCTTAAGGAAGAATGTCGACGCGTTGGCCACCTTGTATGAGCATCTGCATTCCATATGTGTAAGGTTGGTAGTATTTATCTGTTACGTACCCCGTTAAAACCAAACTGGTCATGAATCATCTCTCATACCATAAGTTATCATTGATTATGACGCATAATAAGTATAGTGAAATCTCTTTTCTTGTTTTACTAATAAGTTTCTGATGAGCAGTAGTGTATTCCGTGACTCGTGCGGATAAGACGAAAGCTGTTTCAGATAAACGAATTTATAGGACCAAATTTTCAAATAAAAGTCCGAACTCAGTAGTTGCATGGAACCATTTTGATACTGAAAGTATCACTTAAATAACGGCAGAATTAATGCAAAGGCAGTTTTAAGTTGACGTCAGTTGTTCAATATGTATGCGTCCACATTTGTTCCTCATCAATTTATGGTCAATTTGGTGTAAGTGTACGTCTTTCTCTTTCTCCACTCTATATTTTAGACATGGGACATAATTCATTTTCCAATAGTGATGTGTAAATGTATTTTTGCTCATTGTGATAGGTTCATTACGGCAGTCTAGTGTCTTAATACAGCTTTTAGAGTGATATAACTAAGTCTCAACTGTATGTGGTTTTGTAAAGAAGTTCACTAATTTCACCTGATTGCTCGGGATGCAAGTGTTCGGCACTGAAAGAAGAGATACCACAAAAGTAATGATGATCAATCCTGGAAATTGTTTCAAATTCTCCAACTTTATTTAGAATAGTGAGACAAATTTTGCTGCAGTAAGTTCAATCTGTGGTGAGAATTCTGATATTAAGGGCAATATAAATGCCACGAAACAACAAAAATCAGCGAAGTAACTTTGTATGCGTATCAGTTTCATACAGAAGCCTTTGATGTAATGTCACAATTTAATTGGCCATTGTGAATAATCGCTTCCTCCCCTACCAATAGGCTGCTCGTTCACAGTAGTTGTTTGGAGGTGTGGTAAACATCTCAGCTTTCTCCAGGCATCAGGTAATATTAAGTCGCACTCAACAGGCCACTGTCTTTTTCAGTAATTTTTAGTATGAATGGAAGTGATGAAGGCACTTATAAAATACTAGGAATCAAACAATTCACGGGGTAGTTTGCTGCTGAATGTAACACAAAATTAATATCTCTATTGAAATGATCCACTGACACGAAGTCACCACAAGACCTCGACCGATAGAAGATTGATGTCAGTAGAATAGTAGAGTTTTCACAGGTGTTCGGATATGTCGATTGGTTTTTGAAACTTTGAATAATATGTACTTTTATGTCAAGTGAGAGACCGAAATTGTGAAGGATTGTAGCTAACATTTCTTCTCTCACTAACTACTTTTTCTATAAATGCTTACAATGGTAATCCATTAGGTTCCTTTGTTTTATGCCTTCACGTTACATGTGGCTTTCTTAAGATTGGCCTGAGTTGGAAGCTGTATGTCAGTGTTCTGATCGAACTTAAGCAGCTTAAGAAAAGCATGAGACTAATGGTATTGTTCATCAGTGTTCTGGTAGTTACATTCATGTTTTGCGGATTGGTAACCTGTTCTCAGCTTTTGTCTCGTTATCCATCAGCATTTCCGGACAGTCTTCTTTGTATTATAAATATCTCAGAGTCATTTTAAGTTTTGCAATCTTTCTTCTTTACAGGTTTTTTCATATGCTGTTCTATTATTTTCAAACATTGTAAACTAATATGATTGCTTTTAAAATTATTAGGTACCCCATTGGATGTTTCATTTACTCCCTTTTGAACTACATTCTACGGTCATAATGAATTTCGCGTCATCCTCAGTCTTGCTCTACATACAACAGTAAACTGACTGATGTGTGATTTATTCCCCTGATTTTACGCTTGATTTCATGGATTTTTTTCATGATAAAATCAATTCATGCATTAATTTCCCTTCGAAAGGAAGGAGTTGCTGATTCATGTATGTGCAAGTGTAATTATGTATTTATTGATTGTAAATGTTGGTTTGTTTTAAGAAAGTTTGCATTTTTTCATTTGTTAAATGGCAACGTGAAAGTGTGCTAGCTAGTCGAATGAAAACATGATCCTAATGTGTTAAAATAACGATTTGAGTGAAGTTAAAGTATCATAACCAAAGTCAAGGTCTTTCAAAAGTTGACCTTCAAGAATCGATCACATACAAAAAATGCCATGAAATGTCATTCCGAATCAGATCATGCCTGCCCTTTAGGACTTGGAGAGGGTGGATAAAGTATTCTACTTATTTACTAGATACTTGTTCTGCAAATCTGTACTGTTAGATAGGTTTATGACTTTTAAGATTAAGGTTTAGGGTCTAGGGTTAAAGTTGGGATTAGGAGTTTGGATTATGGTTAGAGTTAGGAGTAGGTTGAAGAATAGTGTCAGGAATATCAATGGTTCGCAAAGTACCATGACCTACAGTCACCTGGATGACTGGGCACATCGCGCATGGCACGATTTCTGTATAGATCGTATGTGTAGTTACGCGTCGTTGGCATAGCGGTAGAATGTTCGCCAACCACGCGTGTAGTTTAGGGTTCGATACCCGCCCGACGCACTCCTTTACGTCGCTAAGTCAGTGATAAGACTGGTAAAGAAGGAAGGCTGGACATGAGGCTAGCAGCCCTATCCCGTAAAAATAAACACCACTGCTACCGAAACTTCAAAGCTCTAGCTTGAATCCCTATGTTCCACTGGGAACGTAAATGAATAAAATAAATAAATAAATAACATGTGTAGTGACTAGCTACTACTATACAGTGTAATATCGTGTTTTCAATGTTTTCTAGTGCATTTTTCAACGACTATACGATTTTTTGCATCTTATTTGTGATTGGTTGTCTAAGGTCACTGTGGTTTTGGCTATGGTAGTTTAACTTTGCCGCGATTTTTGTGATGTCATTTGTCTTCGCTAGAAACATCCTTAAAAGCATGTCCTCATTTTGCCCCATTGAAGTACTAATTTTCATGTTTTGAAGGCATACATACATATAATGTCAGGGCGAAAAGTATTTCGTTGAAAGTGTAAAGTATAAAACAGTCCACATTATGTAGACTGAAGTGATAAGGTACACAAAAATGTATTCGTGAATTCCTTTCCATTTTCACTCAGATGATATAGATGGTACAAAGAAGTTCACACTGACATGGATTTTAAGCCATATATAATAACACTCAGTGAATTAAGCCTCTAGTGTTCTGTACGCAGTAATCGCATTGAATCGCATGTTTGGATTGCAAATAAGGACTTCGTGTGTCTGTGTGTTTGCATGCGTCAATCGAACGTAGTACACGAGCATGATAAATGAGATAGTCGGTGTATTTAATAACTCAGTTACATTGTGTGTGAGTTATTTAAGCTCTTTGCAAGGATATTGATACATCGTATGTTTTCATTTCATTTGTATGCTTGATTCAGCTTTATGAAGTGAAGTAATGCGGACACTGTAAAAAGCTGTGAAGCCTCTTTAGGGATTGTCTAAAGCGTCTAAAATAAGTTACCGTGTGATTTATGTAGGTTAAAATGGAACATCCTTGTCCCCGCTATTCCTAGCGTTATATCAGTCCACCTCTGACTGAAAAATGTTGGGTTTATTATCGCTATGTGTGACCCTTTCTAATGTGGATGTGAAGAAATCAGTTAACTGAGGTTTCATAATCTGTATTTTGTCTGTAGTGATCGGACTAGAAGATACCCTCGTCAAACTGCAAATTAAAGTGCATAGCATATCGGCCTAATTTTGTATCAATTCATGTAAGTCCACAGAGAGGAGGACAACTGTCTTGATGTGTTCCATAACAGTTGTTTATGTGGACTTGAAATTTCATTCGTCTTAGGTGCTGTTTAGGATCAGCATTTCTGCACTTATATTTGCTTTAGTGTTCTTAATATTTCCTAGAGTTTACCTTTGTCTATTCTAAGATAAAATTGAACTTTATGTGGACTGATATGACCTACATATTCGGTTTTTCCCTTGTTTCTTTTTTTTAGCAGGTCATGGTAATTGAGCGGTTAATGAAGAAAATAAACGTGAATCCTGTACCGAAAAAAGTTCTTAAACCTACAGCAGTGTTGTCTTTGCCTAGATATCCTACACTGACGTTTGGTATACCACTTAAAGAGATTCTGGAACGTGATAAAACTGATATTCCAATTGTAGTCACTGATATTTTCAATTTCCTGTTAAATAAAGGAGGTCTACAGTCTGAAGGTATATTTCGTGTAAATGGTAATTCACGAACAGTGGAAGCCTTGCGTACACTTGTCGATGAAAATGGCACCTATTGGCATTTGAGTGAATTTTCAACTATAACTGGTGATTCAGATCGAACAGTTGATGTTTTCTCCGTTGCTAGTCTTTTAAAGTTATATCTAAGAGAATTACCAGGAGGATTAATTCCAGAAAGTAAAACGTCCTTATTTTTGAAGGTGAGTAATTTTTTTATTAGAATATTACATCAATTTTGTTAAACGTTTTAAATGTGGGTTATAAAGTGGTGAACATTCGTCATTAAGTCACGGACGTTTTGAAAATGGTTTCAATAATAATGGTTGATATGGGGCTTGGGAATCCTACCAGCATGATTATACTGAAGTAGGTAACCATCAGAAGAAACTGAAATAAAAGTTTGAAAATGTATTGCATGACAAGGACTATATGCTTTGTATGTGTGTGTATATATGCATACCATAAAAGCATTTCTGTGTCAGTAATGAAAATCATAAATCCTACGCCGTCTCTGGCGTAGGCGTGACATCTGGCTATCAACCAAGGGACGTGTGTACTACTCAGCAGTTCGCTCCTTCCTTCTCTATGGCTGTGAAACATGGCCAATACGAGTTGAAGACATGAAAATGTTGACTGTTTTTGATCATAGATGTCTACGATCTATTTCTCACGTTAGGTGGCATAATAAGGTAAGTAATGTTGACGTTAGGCGTAGTGTTGGGCAAAGAGGGAAAATCACTCGAAGAGGCTATAAAGTTACATAGATTGAGATGGCTAGGTCACGTGCTGCGCATGCCTAACCATCGCCTCCCCCGACGGACAGGCATTACTAGCTGATATAGGTGCAGGTTGGAAAAGAGTAAGTGGTGGCCAAACAAAAACATGGCATCATCAATCAATGAAATCCTTGACAGTTAAACTGAGTCAGGTAGGGAGATTCAGACTTCCTGGTTGGGGCCCTCGGGACTCTAAGAATCAGTGGCTGGAGACAATAGGTGACATGGCTCAAAGTCGTTGTCAATGGCGCAGATGTATTCAGTCTCTGTAATCTTTCAGATTCCTTTCTACTATTACTCATTCTGTTTCACTCTTATACTTGTCAAAACTCTATTGATTATCCTCGCTCATCTTCTTGTCTACCTTTGTGTGCTATTTGGAACGTGGCAACTCGAACTGCTGCACTTCGGTGCCAAGTTCTATGTTGAATCCAGACAGAGAATGGTCAATAATATAAGAATAAAACTTGTGCACTGTGGTAGAGTATAATTCCATTGTAGATAAAGTTTATTCTGATAAGGTCTCACAGTGTTATACAGTAATATTTACTGATTACGTTTCATAGAATCTACACCCAACACGTGCAATAGAAATGACTCATCACTAATACCAAAAATATGGAAAATGTTCCTACCAATTAAATCAAGAGATGAGAAATTGTGGAATCATATAAACGAAGTTGAAAAGTTGTGTGAGTCACTTGATATGATTATGAGCAGCAATAAATTGTGCTCGAAACGTCGTCATCATTAAATATTATTGGTATAACTCTGTGAGACCTTGATGGTCAAAAAAGAAAACCCTGGAATATATCGAGACGTATGCATCCTCAATGGCTTTATATTTCTCAGTAGTCTAAAACAGTAGAATCAATAAATGGCTTAGCCTAAAACGAACATATCAGGTATACAAGTATTGATGATTTTACTTCTAAAAATAATAAATATTGTTTATTTTTTTGGCTCGTGTACATGTACCTAACGTTTTATGAAAAATTATGTTATTTAATACCTACTTGCATATACATGTAGTGTGAGGGCTGCCTTAACCTCGGTAGGTGGAGCGTGATTCAAAGCCCTGACTCAATGGTTGAAAGTCAAGCGCCTAAACCATTGAGGCATAGCTCCACCTAACTTTTCGTAAGATCTTAGAAGTATTAAGCTTAATAACATCTTACTTACGTTTCCCTAAGAATATGCCACTGGCTGTTATCATCTATATACACTCTCACATAAATCAAACAGTTTTCGTCGTTGGAACATTTGTAGGAACTGATTTTGATATCTGAAAGTACCATATTTGTGATAAACACCTTGTTTTCTTATACATTCAATGAATAACAAGGGGGCAGTCAGTGGAGATTTGTTTCCTTACAGATTCTGGATATTACCCTATATCAGTTTAGCTATCAGATCATAAGAAAATCTGAGCATATCTAAAACATGATCATAGCGGTGGGCATGTTGTAACAGTAGGTAACATTATTTTTGTTATGTTAAACGATATCTAATGATGACAGTCATGTTCATTTTTCTTCTTCTATTTACTGGAATTCACGAATTTCCTGTTGTTTGTTATTACTGAACCTAAAAATTCTGCCTCTGTTGGCTTGTGAACCTCATAGAACGAATATCCCGATAATACCTTTGGTTCTAACATCATCTTATTTGTTAGATATCAGTAATTAACACCCAATACTCGTTGTTACACAACAGTGAATTTCGTAGTTCAGTATGTAGCCTAGTGGGTTATAGCTTTGACATTAAGTATCTAGTCTATACAGGTATACCATCATTTGCTGGAATCCCCATTACACCTTTAACTGACTACTCTCTAACAGGATAATAAGGCGTTTGTCCTTGACTCTGCTACTAGCCACCGTGTGTCAAAAATGCTCACTCCTTGTCTTTCCGTGAATCTTAAATATTTTATTAGTCTAGCCTTGTTTGCTCCTTGTCTTCTGATCTCTTTTCTTTTGGTTTGTTCTCTCAATCTATTGCGTTAATCATTTTTTTCCGCTTGAATTTCATAAGATATAAAACTTTGTTTCACTTCATATATGTATATTGAATTGTAATCAATTGTCCAATTTCTCCATACATCGTGTATACACAGTTTAATAAGGTTTGTTTATACGTCATTCTCTTCCACTGGTGTGATATCGATGTAATTAGTTGTGCACGTGATCACTAAGGAATTTTGAAGGCTGTGTGTATTTATTTTTGAGTTGAATAGTTCAACTAGATATGTGTATAATTTTGAATATAGTTCAAGCTGACAGTTTATTGTTCACAATGTATTTTTTTTCCAAGGCTTCAAAAATCTATACGTATTCGATTTTTGTACATGAAATTAATCGATTGCTTTGTTTGTTTGCTTGTTTGTTTATTCATTACTGGCTGACGTTATACCCGGTAAAAGAATCTTTTTGTTTTAATTACACAATATACTGCATCGGTTTTTCATTACCTAAGTACTAGGTTGTTATAGTAAACTAATTATCATTGAAACATCTATATTCCGTGAAGAGGATTTGAATAATAGTTAACGATAATAATAATAACACACTAACTTGAAAATTAATCTGACGCTAGCTAGTGACTGGCTACAGGACGAAGTTGTCTGGAGTTCTAATGAGAAGTCGTGACCACTGGGTCTCAGCAGGTCAGGCGTGCGGACAAGTACTCGCCGATGACATTGGTTGGTTGGTATTCGCACTAAAATCGCGAATTAGTGGAAGTTAGAATTCATAGGCCATTGAACTGGGTCCCATCGGGTGAGAATGGTCTACGAGCATTCCTTGTAAACGGAAGGTTCTAGATTCGAACCCCAGTGGGTGGGTGCGTACTGATGAAGAATCCCAAGCCAGGACGATGTGGCTGGCTGTCCAGTACTTCCTGCTGGTTTTCAATGGTTCTCTAACTTACAGCAATCTGTGATCGAACTTGAAAGAAATCAAATTCCTACGAACCGATTCCAGGAAATAATAATAGTAATAATAATGACAAAGAGATTTCAATTATAATCTTTGTCAGTTGAAACAGTGGGCTAATGCAGATAATTGTTCATAGGACGTATATTACGTATAGTAGAATAGTTAATTTAGAAAAAATGGTTGACAAACCAAGCTGTAAGCAATAGTTTTGAGCAGGTTAGTTGGAAATAGCTTCTAACGTTTGATTATCATTCAAATAAATATGTGTATATCATGGAAATTTTCTGGCGTAGACGTGATATCCGACTATCGACCAAAGGGCGGGTGTACTGCTCATCAGTCCACTCCGTCCTCCTTTATGACTGTGAGACCTGGCCATTGAGAGTGGAAGACATGAAAAGATTAGCTGTCTTTGATATTAGGTGTCTGCGTTCTATCACCCGTGTGAAGTGGTATAATAAGGTGAGCAATATTGAGGTTAGGCGTCGAGTGCTAGATAATGAGGGAGGGGAAATCAATCGACGAAACTGTGAAATTACATCGACTGAGATGGTTAGGACATGTGTTACGCAAGCATGCCTAGTCATCGCCTTTCTCGACGGGTAATGTTAGCTGATATAGGGCCAGACTGGAAAAGAGCTAGTGGCGGTCAAACCAAAACATGGCCTCATCAGTCAATGAAATCCACAACAGTTAGTTTAAGCCAGCCAGCCACGTAGGAAGGTGTAGACTTCCTGACCGGTTGGGCTCCTCGGGACGGTAAAACCAATGAAGTGGAAACAATTGGTGATGTGGCTCAAAATCGTCTCAAATTAACTGTTTGTCTTCTAACTATTTTAACAAAATTTTCTTACTCATTACTCTAAATGAAGATTTTCCTTAAATGTGTCCACTGATTGAATTTTACTGTAGAATGCGAGTACTGATATATTGACTGAATTATGTCGTCTAAAAGGGATGAAAATAATTACTTTACAAGGCTAGCCTAGTGATTAGTCAGCGTTGTAACTTAATGACTCTAGGTTCCATCCCGTGGGGTGGGGGGGGGGAGCGAGAGCTCGTGAGTGCACTCTGCTTAAGAGTCCCATTCTTGGATGAAATAGCTGTTCAGTGCTTCTCTAACTGATGTAGGTTTGTGATGAAATATTCAGATTATTTTAGCGAAGTTAGAATATCGTAGCCCATAGTCCAAGGTCTGAAAAAAGTTGACCTTAAAGAACCAATCAGATTTAGGGAACGCTACGAAATATCATTCCATATCAAATAATGCCTACCCTTATGGATTTGGTTAGGATATATGCAGTATTCTACCTATTCCCGGTGCACTTTTTTCTGTAAATCTATGCTGTTCGCTAGGGTTAGGAATAGGTGTTAGTGTTATTAAGGTCACTGTTAAAAGTAGGTTAAAGAATAGAGTCAGGAATATCAGTTGATCTCTCAGTGTGTCGTGTTCCACAGTCATCTAGATGAATACATATTATGATTTCT